TGTAATCATGCTCAGATGCCGAGGAGCTCAGAAGGTGGGCGACTGTGACCAGTGATAGTCATGTATATAGAGATTAGAAATGCATGTGAAAACGTCTCAATGTCAATTGCTTTGGAATGAATTCTTCTATATGAAAAAAAAAATAATGATTAAAAAAACCTCATTTGACCCAAAAAAAAAAAAAAAAAGTGCTTGCCACCGCGTGACCTGCATCGAATGTCCAGAACCCAAAGGGTAGAAGGAGAGAACTGGCTCCCTGTGGTTGTCCTTTGATCTCTATATTTGCATGTGGCTTGTGCCCCCCACAAATGAATAAAAAGTAAACAAATAATGCAATGAAAAAAAAAAGTGTGTTGGACAATTCATCTTCTACACCTAAGGTCAGGGAACATTGTAGAACAGCGGGTAGAGATAATACTGATGCATCTCTCAACTCTTCACTAGCAAAGCTCTCTCATACAGCAAATGGTGATTAACTAAGAAAGCCACAACTGGCCAAAACATAAAGAATAAGATACTGCAGACTGCGTGTCTCTGTATTAAACCTCTTCCACCCAGGGCTCAGGGACCATTGCAGAATAGGGGGCAGAAAGGCTGTAAGAGCTAGGGGTGTTGGATGACAACAAGGAAACAGAGTTTTCCAGGAGACTGGGAACTTGCTTGTATGAACTTATAGAATGGTGACATCATGCACAAGATCCATGCAAACTCAAACCAGACAAAAACTCAGCATAGAAGAGGGGAAATGGATAAGATCACTGCTGGATGAGGGAGAGTTGGTCTTCTTTAAGGAAGTGACACTAGACAGGCTGACCAGGTTTCCAGTGGATGAACTCACATGGAGGGACATCTGGGGACCCAAACTTGACTGGATAGGCCTTACTATATGACAATATGTGAAATACAGTGGGGGCAGTTATAGGGGCTGCAGATAGAGGAGTGGGTATAAATATGATGAAGACATATTGTATGAAATGCACAAAAATTCAGTTAAAAAGTGTGTTGGAAATGCACAAAAATTCAGTTAAAAAGTGTGCTGAAAGAGGAGATGATGACCCCAGGACTTTGCAAGGAAGATATTTGATGTTCTTAAAAGAGATGCAAGTGAGGCTCCATGAGAGAACTCCTCAAAAAGAGGCTGGCTGCCCTTGAGTAGAGTGGGGTATAGGGAAGGAGGCTACAGGGATGGCTTGTCACTGAGTCTTGTGAAGTTGGAGCCTTATTAGTACAGAATATTTAGGATTTATAGATGACTTCTTTCTAAGTAATAGCAAATGTTTTCACAAATAGCTTCATTTACATTTTCAAAGTGTTTTTATAGAAATGAAAATAGGTAGATATTATTTTCATTGATTAGGAAAACCTCAGACACTTTTTTCATATAATAATTTTGTATTTTAAAATTTGATATTTCAAGTTTGGCTCTTCACAAAGTCTCTCTCTCTCTCTCTCTCTCTCTCTCTCACACACACACACACACACACAAAGTGTGTTTATATGTGGCAGAGAGCTAAAGGGCTTAGCTTTATCATTATTGTCAAAACCAGTGCTCTGGATTAGGAAAAAAGTTCTTACTCAACAGTAATCATGTCATTTTAGGGATAAAATTCAGGGATCTGAAAGTCAACTCTCAAAGTTAAAGTTTAGTGAGCTAGAAAAATTGTAAATATTCAAATATGGGTTTGCCTGTTTCACTCTTTAGCATTAATGTGAAACGTTTTGAGTCTCAATTTCAGTAAACATTACCTGGATTATTGGCATCTTTGATACTTTGCTTATATATGCTTCAGGCTATTTCTGACATTTCCCTGTAACAGATCCAACTCAAAATGTGGAAGAACCCAGCAATCCAATTTGATATTAATCTTTTAATATATTTACAGTAAAGCTTACAGTTCTTTTTCTCCCTGGAACTGAACAAACAGACTGGGATAAGATAGGAACCTGGGCCAGCAGAGAAGAGTCTATGTAAATGAGCAGCTAGAATCAAGTGGTTTGACTCAAAGTACAAGAGAATGCTATGTAGCTGTGTCTATTTGTCTACACACACACACACACACACACACACACACACACACACACACACATTCTGTCTGTATATATGTATGTTTGCAGTCCTAAGGACTGAATTCAGATCTTCACATGTTAAGCAAGTACAGCAGTACTGAGCTACACTCCCAACTTAATAATGCTGTTTTTAATTTATTTTTATTTTTTATTTTTATTTTTTGAGACAGGGTCTCCCTGTAGCCCCAGCTGTTCTGGAAGTCACTATGTAGACCAGGCTGGCCTTTAGCTCACAGAGATCCAACTGCCTCTGCCTCCCGAGTGCTGGGATTAAAGGCATGCACCACCACACCTAGCAATGATGCTGTTTTTTAAAACAAAGAATAAATAAAACGCTATAGACATAAACATCTGAGCATTATACCTACATGTATAAATGTATTTTGGAAATTTCCTTTAATTTTTTTATTAATTTTTCTTTCTGTATTTCATACAGAACATCCCAAACAATCTTATTCATCTTTCCACCAAGCCACTTGTTAATATTAAAATAAAAAAAAAAGTAATATTGAATCCTGGTTGTTCCCATTTACTGCCACCTAGCTTGCCCATTCTATAACCAGTCTGTAACTCAGCCTCGGTATCACTTTACCTGCCTTCTTCACTTGCCTTCTGGTAGGATCCACCTAAGCTTTAGTTATCCCTCCTCTCACACTCCCTGTCTAACCTCCCTCCTTACTTCTATCCCTCCCTTCCTCCCTCTATTCCTTCCTTCTTTCCTTCCTTCCTTTGGTTAAAACTGGGCATACATATCCATATATATAAATATAATAAATATCCATATATATAAAACATTAAAAAACGGAATGATAATTAACTTAGCTAAATTATTCACCCTTTGATCATTGCCTTCTTCTTGACCCCAGTCCCTCCAGCTTTCACCCTCTGTCCCTTCCTTTCACAAAGCTTCCTTGGATTGTTGAGAAATTTAAATCTTACTTGGGGGAAAAGGAAAAATGAGATTGACTGCATCAGGGGAGTCTTTCATTTATATTTTCTAGTAATTTGGTATAAGCAGTGGGGGTGATAATGATTTTTTTTCTTTGAAAATAGAATGAAATCATCACAAAATTTTACACCTAACATGTCTAGTTAAAATCTGACTCATAGCAACTCTCCACAAGTCCTCAATTACTTTGGAGAATCATTATTTTTTCTAGCAAGATTAATTACCACACTAAGCCATGGGAGGAAAGACAGGAAGGATACCAGAGAGCCCTTCTTCCTTAATTCAGGAAATGCTTCTTCCTTAGAAAGCAAACTTTTGTGGTCTACCCTCCCAGGCTTCTCTGTTTATGTTTTTGGGCCACTATTCACTAGGCAGCACCCAGATTCTGTGGCCTGGATGGGACTCTGTTTTTGCAACTCTTCTGCTGTGTGCCAAGCCTTTGAGCCGTCATGTAGCTTATTTATTTTGAGAAAGGCAGGACTTGTCAAGATTTATAAACTCAAGAATTGTTTTTATTGTGTCCGAATAAACCAAAAAGTCAGAATTACTAGATAGTAAAATGTCTGGATAAAATCCCACAAAACCAAAACCAAAAAACCAATCAACTCAGTGAAAATATTATATTGAAATATCCACCTTCCACTGAACTCTTTTAAAAAGTCAGCACCAAATTGTGCGCTTGTGCTACTCAAGTCTGGCTGAGCTCAAATAAGTACAACCAGAAACTCAGAACCATAAACACTAGAAATCAACAAGCCACTTATTAAAAGAATCTTTTTCTTTTACATACCTAAGTTTGAATTGCTTAGGAAAATATAACATCAATATCTCTGAGTCAAAATGTAATTTAGAAGTTAATTTAAATGTGAAGTTCTGGGAAAGTCTATCCAATTTATTATTCTTGTTCTTTTCATTTGTACACGAGGAGGAATAAAACCTCTAAGGAGCTCTTGCAATAAGCATCAAATAAAAGTTCCATGTAACAAGAAGGGTGTAGTAGCAGTTTTATTGGCAGTTTCTTTTTCAGTAGCAAATGTAGTGGATGCCATCTTTTGTTTAGATGAAATATGGGGATGGTAAGTACTTTCAGGATTGTTCATATGAAATAATTTAAGGTGAGGTCTAATATTTAAAAAATGCAAAATACCAGGCTGGAGAGATGGCTCAGCAGTTAAGAGCAGAGGATCTCAGATCAGTTCCCAGCACCCACAACTGCCTATAACTCCAGTTCCAGGGGATTAGACACCCTCTTTTTGGCTTCCAAGGTCATCAGGCACACAGAGTATACATACATACATACATACATATATATATATTGAGGTCTAATATTTAAAAAATGCAAAATACCAGGCTGGAGAGATGGCTCAGCAGTTAAGAGCAGAGGATCTCAGATCAGTTCCCAGCACCCACAACTGCCTATAACTCCAGTTCCAGGGGATTAGACACCCTCTTTTTGGCTTCCAAGGTCATCAGGCACACAGAGTATACATACATACATATATATATATATATATATATATATATATATGTGTGTGTGTGTGTAAGCAAAATACTCATATACATAAAAGAAAAATTAATCTATAAGAAATGCAAACTATGTATGAAAACTCATTACAACTGGCCTAGGAGTGAAATATTCTTTGAACAGAATACTCATCCCACAAGGATGTGCTATCCATTGTGGTGCGCTTTCTCAGTACTATCCCAGCCACAATGGTGAGCCAGTCTTTTCTACTTACATTACAGTCACATTGGAAGAAACTGAAGGAACAGCTCGTAAATTGGCTTCATCACAGTCAAGCTCTAGATCTCGGCAAAAACAACGCTTGGGCACAGAGCCAATCACTGAACAGCGAGGAAGTGGGAAGGAATGATGAAGTGAGAGACCAGGGAGAGGAGGGGAATGAAGAGAAAGAAATGCAGAACTATGAGAATATAGCTTCGTATAAAGGTCTATCATGCTTACCCAAGCAATTGGGGGAATGCTTTAAATTAAGGTTCCAAAATTTGCTTCTGATTTAACTTTGACACAATGCTAGACTAGCATTAAGATTTGGAAACATACTTGTTTATGAGCCCATCCTTTTTCCATTTAATATTATTTTTAAATTAAAAAAATTATATGTATGTGTCTGTGTGTATGCACATGTGTGTGCAGGTGCATATGGAAGCTAGAAGAACACATTAGATCTCCTGGGGCTGAAGTTACAGGTAGTTGTGACCTCTCCACCATGCCACATGGATGCTGGGCACCAAACTCTGATCCTCTGGAAGAGTTGCAGTCACACTTAACTGCTGAGCCATCGCTTTCCTTTTGAAAAACAGCAAATGAATGAAATATTCTGCTTCTGTGAGATGTGATAGTGTGCGATGGGGCTTAATATTCATTTGAGAGCTTCTTTTTGAGAGCAAGTATTCAAAGTAATAATAAGTAATCAAAGCCTTTAATGGAAGATCAAAACATTCTAACTAGAAAGGAAAAAGAAAAGAGGGAAATAAACATGGAATAATCTTTTTGTTTTTCTCTTGAATAGTTTTCCCCTGTAGCTCAGGGTGGCCTTCGACCCACGATCCTTCTAGACCTCCCAAAGCCTGCGTAACAGGCAGAGGTTTTTTTTTTTTTTTTTTTTTTTTTTTTTTTTTTTTTTTTAAGAAATTCAGGAGTTTTTCAAAGGATATTTAAAAATGATCTTTCTTTGTCATATGTGGGGTGACATTTATGGGACATTTTTCTGTACATTTTATTCTCACTGATGGGCATTGGAAAGGAGTGTGGGCCATTTTTGGCCAGCTTGTGGGGCTGGAGCACTGGTGTTAAGGATGTGATTCAATACATCTGCTAGAGACCTGCAGTGCATCTAAACAGTTTGGTGGGACTTTATCCCATCTAACTAATGCAGTGTGATTTCTGCCTTGCTGGGAATGGATGGCTGGTGAGACAATGAGGATCGCTGCCCTCCCCACTTACTTCAGAGGCCCAAACTCCACAGTAGGGTTGCATTTGTAGACTGTCTGCTGTCCCCATGTCTAAGGGGAACCACTTCTAGCTACTGTCAAATTAGAACAGGAACATGGGGAACCATATCTACAACTTCTGACAGTAACGTAGAAATACAATGTTTTATATGTAATTGCTTATTTTAAAACAATAAGAGATAGTTTAAAACACTGCAGAACAACCCAAAATTCCTGCAAAGATTTCCTGTTTGCAGGCTCCCAGTTTCTGACCTTTGTGGTAAGGTTTCTACAGAGCATGAAGGTGTCTTCTGTAGATGGCTAAGGAGCACAGCTGGCTGTGGGCTCCCAGCTAGGAAGGCAACCTTCACTCTGGGAGCCTGGGTGACAAGTGTTCTTCTCTTCTCCTGAGTCATATCTACTATGTGAGTGTATGTTTATGTCCTGGGAATGAGATGGTAAACATTGGGGAGGAGATTGAAAGCTCTGAGAATGAAGGCCTGTATAGCAAAGCAATGAACTCGGTGTTAATCCCAGGGTTTTCTCCATATATAAATATCGAATTAAGGTAATCTGTAATAAGGTAAAATGAAGAGACAATATTAACATGAAACAACAAAGGAATAGGTAAAGTATGCCACTTAATATTTCTCATATAATGTATTTTATTTATTATTATTGTTCAAAAAATGTTTAAATTTATTTTTATTTTATGTGTGTGAGTGTTTTGGCCAGATGTATTTAAGTGCACCCATGTTGTGCAATGCCCATGGAGACCAGAAGAGGGCATCAATTCCCCTGGGATTGGAGTGAAGGATGGTTGTTATTGGCCGTGTGGGTGCTGGGGATTGAACCTTGGTCCTTTGCAAGAGCAGCCAGTGCTTCTAACTGCCGAACCATCTCTCCAGCCCATTATTGTTATTATTATTATTATTGTTATTATTATTTTTTTAGATGACTCTCATGTATCTCAGACTGGCCTTGTACTCATATAGCCAGGTATGACCTTGACATTCTGATCCTCCTGCCTCTACCTCCCAATTGCTAGAATTACAGGTGTGCACCACCCCACCCAGTTTGGTGCTAGGGATTGAACCCAGGAACTTGTGCTTGCTAGGGAAATATTCTAACAGTAGAGCTACACCCCCAGTCTTATATACTATATTTTAAGAGAGCTTATTATAAAATAGAAGCCTGATTATGCCAAAATGCTAATTTAAAATTAGGTTAAAAACTGTATAGAAAATTTCAACTAGGTTAAAACAAAAACTGTGCAAAGCACTAGTGAGTTAATACTTGTAGCCTCTGAGTGTGGAGTAAACAAACCTCTCCTCGAGATCCTTAAACTTCAAACTTTGATCATGCATTGGTTAATCGTTAAAAAATTATTATTTTTATTTTACGTGAATGAGTGTATTGCCTGCATGTATGTAAGTGCACCTGTGTCATGCAATGCCCTCAGAGTTCAGAAGAGGGTGTTGGATCCCCTGGAACTGAAGTTACAAAGGATTGTTAGCTGCCGTGTAGGTACTGAAAATTGAACCCTGGTCTTCTACAAAAGCAGCCAGTGTTCTTAACTGATGAACTATCCCTCTAGCCCTACACTGGTTAATCTTATATGATGCTTCTGTGATATTTGTCTGAAAAGGGAATTTAAAAAAATGTTCTTTCCTTACATTCATTCCTGTAACCCCAAATGGTTATGAGTTGTTTTCAGTTTAATACCGACAGTCCCTATGATAATCTGACACGTTACATGGCACAGTAGGAACCTTAATTCAAGTCTCACCCCGATATCCTTGCACTGCACTGTTTCATCTTTGCACCACTTTCAAATTTGAAAAGGTGTTTAATCAGGAATTGTAAACCCCATTGTCTCTAAATAACTAATTAAAACTCGTTTTTGTATTTTCTAAGTATTGATGGAAAATTGCTTCTGTATTTCAATTCATCATTTATTGTGCAGTGCCACACTTCTTGAATAATTACAATTATGGCAAATTTCTTCTAGAATGAAATATCTGGCAAAAACTGATTTCTCTTGTTGACTGGATCTGTTTTTCCCCATTTATTTGATTTTGCTTTACAAACTATAACAGTTATGTAAACCACTGTTTCCTCCCTCCCTCCCTCTCTCCTCCTCCCTCCTTCTCCCTCCCTCCCTCCTCCTCCCTCCCCCTCCCTCTTCCTCCCCCTCCCTCTTCCTCCCCTCCCTCCCTCCCTCCCTCCCTCCTTCCTTCCCTCCTTCCCTTCCTTCTCTTTTTCTCCCTTCCCACTGTGTGGCCCAGAATGGCCTTGAACTTGAGATCCTGCTTTTCCAGGCTTCTTGTGCTGGTGTTAAGGTGTTGGTCACCACTCCAAACTGAGGATATTCTCTTATATATATATTTTTGCTGTTATTCTTATTCACCATTTAACTTTTGATTCTTATAGTCTGTTAATGGTCTAAATCTGCTAATAGTCATATATTAATATTAAGCTATGACTTTTTTTTGGAGTAAGGTATGATATAAGATTCAATTAAATTCTTATTGGAATGAAGCAAGGTATAAGATTCAATTAAAAATGAAGAAATGAAAACAGATTAATATATGGAATATGAATAAAATATAAAAGAAAAAGAAAATGAAGTTACATGTTAAGACACATCCTCATACATATTTTTGCATTTTAATAGTTATGTCTATTAAGTTTCTATTTAAAAAGCTTTTGAAGAAAGGGTCTCCCTGTAGCCCCAGCTGGCCTGGAACTCATATTGATCAGACTGGCCTTGATCTCACAGAGATCCACCTGCCTCTGCCTCCAAGTGCTGGGATTAAAGGTGTGCACTACATCACCCAGAAACTGTTTCTTTCTTTTGGCAGTATTAGAGATTGGACCTAGGACATTACATATGCTAGGCAAGTTTTCTACCAATCCAGACCACCTTTTAGCTTTTTAATGATCAAATTATTTGATCTTTCTTCTTTGGGAGGCAGATTTGATGCTGAGACAGGCTGCTGGGTACTGTAAGACTTATGAGAGTATTATGAATCTCCTTACATTAAGGGTTGTTGGTAGTCAATTAATCTCATTTGGGTAGTGAAGACAAAAATATTAACAATTTTAAAAGCTAGACTTAAAAATTGTGCTGGGACGTAAAGGTAAAGAACATAGTTGAGGAATTCTCCCTTCTCCCAACTCTTGCTTTTTGACCATAATTTTGAAAATTACAGGCCTAAGGAACACATGTGTATCTGCATAATTTATTAAGTACACAATTTATAAAAGGAATTACTTTCATAGGTATTCCTGATCTAAACTATTATGACGTTACTGATAAGGCTTTCTCCTTCCACACCCCATTCAGTGTATTTGTACATGCTCAGCAGATGACTGCACTTAGTAGGATACTATGAACAAGGCATTCAAAGCTCTGTAGCTTAGACCCAGAATTTTTTTTTTCACTTGCAATTATTAAAACTCCAACAGCTGCTCTGCTCTTCCATCTTCCATTTCGTTTATGTCAGATTATGGTAATTGTGAAAAAGGAGCTTATATAAATAAAACAGCAACTCTGACCACTAACACTAATTTTGTTGGCAATACCCAATTTTATTGATCTCTGGGACATTAAAAAATTTAGATTTCCAAATAAAGATTGCATTTCTAAAAAAGTTTGCAACTAGAAAACTATAACTAACCTTTAAAAAAATTGTACTCCACTTTTGAAAACATGGCCTCTTACTATGAACTCCTTGAAAAGGGGACTCTCAATGGCTCTGATTACTTACAGCATTCAGAGGTGTCTGCCTTGAAGGGATTCACGGGAGTCAGCTTGTAGTAATTAGCAAAATATTTGTCAAACTGTAGAGACCACCCATTGTTGTCTCCTGTAAAAAAAATCAGACAGCAGGAAAGTTATAAAAGAAAAACAAATAGATCTATTTTGCTGTCTTGGGGAAAATAATTCCTCTAAAATAAGCAGTGAATCTCAAAGGTAGTTTGGTGCACATCCTGCGGGACTTCCTATAAATGTGGCTTTCTGGCTCCAACGCAAGGCTTGGAATGGGCCCCAGTCTCCATGTTTATCAAGCACTGTAGTAATTCTGCTGCAAGGAGGATTTGGCCATACTTGAACCAGTGATGACTTAGATGTGCTCAAATGTGACACACTGCTCTTCACATGGTACTTGTTTCCCCAAACCATCTTCATTAATTGAAACTGATGATGGACATACATGAACATATCTTCTTCCTTTGTGGAAACTGGTTTTAGAGATGGATAGACATGGCTTTGATGATTGCATTTAATACAAGAAGAAGGGGACTGGGAGATGGGTGAGTTGGTAAAGTGTTTGCTTAATAAACATGAGGACCTGAGCTCAATCCCCAATTAAAAAAAAATGCAGTCATGGGGGCTGGAGAGATGGCTCAGTGGTTAGGAAGTTAAGAGCACTGGCTGCTCTTGCAGAGGACCTAGGTTCAGTTTCCAGCACCCACAAGGCAGTTAACAACTGTCCAAAATTCCAGTTCTAGGGGATCTGACACTCTTTTCTGAGCTCTATGGGCATTGCATAACAAGAGTGCACTCATATACATGCAGGCAATACACTCATACACATAAAATAAAAGTAATAAAGTATTAAAAATGGGTGTGGTGGCATGTGTTTGTAATCCCAGTGCTGAGAAGAAGACAGGAGGATCCCTATCATAGTGAGCTCTAGGCCAATGAGAGACCCTGTCTGAAAAAAAAAAAACAGCACACAAAGTGGATGACTGAGGAAAGACAGAAACCTTTGCTCTCCACATATACTTGCTTACACACACACACACACAGACACACACACACACACACATACACACACACGCATACACGAAGGAAGAGTCAGTGGGACCGTGTTCCTTTTTTTTTTTTTTTCTTCTAAAAGTACTCTGGGGGCTGGAGAGATGGCTCAGCAGTTAAGAGCACTGGCTGTTTTTGCGGAAGACCCAGGTTCGAATCCCAGCACCCAGACAGCAGCTAACAACTGTCCTTAACTCCAGTTCCAGGGGATTCAATGCCATCTTCTGTCCTCTGTCCTCTGCAGGCACTGCATGACATGGGTGCAGTAATACCCATACAGGCATAACACTCATATACATAAAATAAAAATAAATAAATAAATAAAATTAAAGAGAACCTGATATTTAAAATGGTTGCTCTTTGGCTGCTTATGTATTTTCTCATCTCTATTTTCTAACTTTTTTTCCAGCTAGTTTTGTGTTTTATTGTTGAGGCAATTGCAGACATTGATTGTGCGCTTACATCGGTGGGTATAGTCACTCCCTTCACTGCTGCTTCTTGGTCTTCAGCTCCTCCTGTGCTTGGTAAGCTTGGGATGATGGGTTTATTACAAGCCTCGACACTGGCAAAGTGGTTCGATAAATCATTGCAATGAAAAGGAAAAACATCAAGGATTGTAAAGTGGATGGTTAGGTTTTCTCTGTTGCTAGGATCAACACCATGAGCAAAAGCAATTTGGGGAGGAGAGGATTTACTTAAGCTTACAGTTTACAGTCTGTCCTGGAGGAGAAGCAAGGCAGCACCTCAAGGTAGGAACCCGAGGGCAGGAACTGAAGCAAAGGCCATGGTGTTACTGGCTTGCTCCCCCTGGCTTGCTCAGCTACTTTTCTTGCACATCTTAGGCCCACCTGCCCAGGGATGGCACTCTCCGCATTGGGCTGGTCCCTCCTTGTATCAATTAACAATCAAAAAAATGCCCCTACAGACATGCCCACAGACCAGTTTGGTGGAGGAAACTCCTCAGCTGAGGTTCTGTCTTTCTGGATTTGTGAAGTTGACAAATTATATAACTATAATGACGATATATGACTATATTTAACTATATTTCCACCTCTGGAAATATTAGAGAAAAATGACAAACTTAGGGTTGGAGCGGTGACTCTGCAGGTAAAAGTGCTCACTGTGTAAGCCTAATGACCTGAGTTTGATTCTCAGAACCTATGTAAAAGTGGAAGGAGAAGACTGATTCACAAAGTTAACCTCTGACCTCCACACTTACACACATTTACACCATGGCATGTGCATGCCCACATACATCACACACACACACACACACACACACGCACACACACACACACACACGGTAATAAAAATGTAAAAATCCAGAAAAAGCATAATCAGGGTTTTTAATGTTATCAGCTCAAAATAGGTCAGAGAACCAGGGCACTTCCATAATGACCTGGAGAGAATGTCATATTTCTGGAGGTCTTATATCAGGATTGATGAAGCACAAATCATGTAGACTCTGATCCAGGTGTTACTAAGTTGTAGTATAAGTTGAAATCATGCTTTGGCATGTGTCTTAGGTGAGTGTATTAGGACATGTGTGTTCCACTGATTTTGAGCACCCCAAGTCCCTATCCCTCTGCTCCTTGCCATCAGAAGCAGTTTGCTTTTTCTGACAAGGTCAGTTGCAGCTTGTATGAAGATCCTCTAGTTACTCTAATTGAAGTCAGAGAGTTGTCCATTTTCCTCAGGCCCTTTAATCAACATGCTTCTTTGCTTTCCAATGCATATAACTCGAATCAAATCCCAGCATGCCTCAGAAGACATGTTGGACTTAGAAAAGACAGTTTTGTAGACTTACATAAGAAGCTGGGGCTGGAGAGATGACTCAGTGGTTAAGAGCACTGGGTGCTCTTGCAGAAGACCTAGGTTCGATTCCCAGCACCCACACGGCAGCTAACAACTGTCCTTAAATTCAGGTCCAGGGGATCCAACACTCTCTTCTGACCCCCATGGGCATTGCACAACATGGGTGCACTTACATACATGCAGACAATGTACTCATACGCATGAAGAATTAAAAAAATACATAAAATAATAAAGAAGAAGTCTAAGGAATGGCTTTAAGAGTACTGAACCACTGGGCAGGAAGATAAGTCATGATTATGCAAAGCTAATATGGGCACCCTAACAGCTCCCGGATCCAGTGTATAGCAGTTTGGGAGCTTGTGACTATGGTTTCAGTCTGAAATGGTCCCCAAATGGCCCTGGTGCTAATGGTCCAGTCCCTACCTTAATGCTACTGGGAGGTTTGAGAGTTGGACCCCAGGCCTTCAGCCATGAGGAGAATAATTTTGGTCTCTATAATGTGCTGCCTGAGCACAGGCTCAATAACAATAGGATATGGGCTAAATAAAACATCACTATTTTTTAAAAATGATTTTAATTTTAAACTTATGTGTGTGTGTGTGTGTGTGTGTGTGTGTGTGTGTGTGTTCATGAGTGAAGTACCTGTGAAAGCCAGAAGAGGGTACTGGATCCCTTGGAACTAGAAGTTCAGGTGTTTGTGAGCCACCATATGGGTGCTAGAAATCAAACTTGGGTCCTGTGTAGGAGCGGTGAGTGATCTTAACCACTGAGTCATCGCTCCAGATTCTATTTTTATTAGCTATTCATGTGTATATGTGTGTGTGTATGTGCATCATGTGAATGCAGTACCCATGCAGGCCAAAAGACGGTGCTGGGTCCCCTGGATCTGGAGTTACAGGTGATGTGAGTTGCCTTGTGGGTGCTGGGAACTGAACTCAGGTCCTTTGTGAGAACAGCACGCACTCTTAACTGCTGAGCTGTCTCTCCAATCCACAAACTTCTCATTATTACTTGATCATCTCAGGCATTATAGTGACAGAAAGCTAACACATTCTAGGCTAAATGAAGTTGAGAGGCAAACATATATGAATATTGAATCTCTAATGGAATAGATTATGTGGGGCATGACAGCTATATTGTGCAACTGCTGTGAACCCACAGGGGACTATACTACAGATGGACTCAACTTCCATTCAATTCCACTCCTTGGTGGGGACAGACACTGAAAATCTTGGAACAGCATGTCACATCTGCTATAGAGCCAGGACCTGGGGTACATTCACATCCACTTTGGTTAGTGATAGGGAGTTACAAGGTTCTTTTCCTGCCATTGCTTCTAAAACAAGGATGTGGTCAGGAGCAATGGTGGCAGTGGTTGGCCAGTTGTACTGGAACTGGCAGGGACTGGGCAGAGTGTCCTAGTCTATGGATTGTAGCTGTGAACCGTACTGTTGAACTGAGCCAAAATAAACTCTTCCTTAGGTTGCTTTTGTCAGGTGTTTTGTTGCAGCAATAAAGCAAGTAACTGGTAGAGAAAATTGTATGAGGAGTGGGTCTTTTGCTGTGATAAACCTGACCATGTGGTTCTTATGTCTTTGGAACCAGCTTGTAGAAGGAAAGGTTTGGAACTTTGGGCTAGAAAAGCCCTAGAACACTGTAAGCAGAGCTTAATGGGCTATTCTGGTAGGAGCTTGGAAGATGTTGAGGGAAATGCAGACAGTGCAGGCTTGACTTAGGAGGTTTCAAAGGGGAACAAAGATTCTATGAAGAACTGGACTAGAGGCCATTTGTGTGATATTCTGGCAAGAATTTGGCTGCATTCTGCTCATGTCTGAGAACTTGAATGGGGTTCAATTCAGGAGTAATGGACCAATTTGTTTTGTGGAGGAAATTTCACAGAATAGGCTGTGTTGTTGCTACTCTTCACTGTTCTTCGGTGTGTATACAGTGAAAAAATGGAGCAAAAAGGTATGAAAAATGTCATTTGGTGGAGGGAGTTTAAAGCCGTAGGCAGTACTGAAAAATCACCTGTAATTGTTCAAGAGGTTAGTGCTATTAAAGAGGAACTTGGTGCTGTGCATTGGGACAGCAGGAAAGATGTCCTGAAGGAAGACCCTACCCTGGAAGGGCATATGTTGTAAAAGTGCAAATTCACTTTAAAGGAGAAGGCCTAAAACTGAGAATGCCATTGAAAGGGTTCTCTGCTCCTTAAAAGCAACTGCCCAGGGTCAG